GGGTTGACCCGGCCGGGTCAATGCCCCGGGTCGACCGGGTCAAGGCCGGGTTGACCGGGTTTTGACCGGGTTTGACTGGTTCATTTGTTATCCGGTCTAATTAGCACACCCAGACCGGTTCTGGCTCCGAGTCGACCCGCCGGGCCGGTCCGGGTTGAAAAACACTGGTTGAAATTAAAAAAGTCTAGGCCTTCAACACATAGCTCCTTCCAACCTTTATTGGGCTGGACTCAAGTTTACACATGGCCCATGTAAGATGGGTTAGTGAGAGTTGAAATGGCCCATGCGACATTTTATTGAAATAAAGACACTCTCAACTCCTATAAAAAATTTATTCTTATTTTAACCCATCATGTCATTGTTTCACTTTCTTTTTTTTTTTATTACTTTAATGTGTTTTTTAACTGCCATAAATCAAATTTAATAAGAGGTAGTTTTCTTCTTCTTCTCTTATTTCTTATCCACACGCACAACACTTTTATTTTCTCCCAAATTCTCTTCTTCTTCATTTTTCCTTCTTTCATTTTGTTCTTTTCTTACTCAAATTCACAAAACAGTCTTTATCTCTTCTCTTCTTATTTTCCATCTTCTTTAATACAAGATAAAAAAAAAATCAAATCAAGATTCTTCTCCATCTAACCTACTCAGTACTCACACAACACAAAATTCGACGATGTGGCTATGAGCAGCGACTTTGTCTAGGGGCGGCGTGGCCATCAAGTATCGATTTTTGATTTTTGGGCGAAAGGTAAGGATTCGAGTTCGATTAATATTGCTCCAAGTTTCGATTTAAATTTCGTAGAGTCGAACCCTTTATAATCTCATAGCCTTACCTTGAGTCAAACCTTTTCATTTTAGAGCGATTGAACCCTGTGTTTCGTTGATTTTTTAAGAAATTCGAGATTTCCTTGTTGATTAGTTTTTGAAGTATGTTTTACGTATATGTTTTAAGTTGTGGCCAAATTTAAGTTGTTTTCATATTATTTTCATGTTGCTTTAAAGTTTTTTTCATGTTGCCTTTTCAATGTTGTTATGTTATTATTTTCTGTTAGTCCGTATCTTGCTTCTTTTTTTGACGGAATGGTTCTTGTTACCAATTTTTTATTGGTTCTTGTTTTTTGATTTTTTTTCCTTAGGTATTCATGTTTGGAGGAGAAAAATAAGAGAAATACTTGGAGAAAAGGAAAAGAAGAAACAGGAAGAAGATAGAAATGATGTGGGGGAAAGAGATTGAGATTGGAGAGAGACGAGAAATAGAGAGAATGAAAAAAAAGAGACGGGAGAGAGAGAAAGACAAAAGGAAGAGAGAAAAAAAATAGATAAGAATGTTCAAGAGAGAGAAATAAATGGATAAGAATGTTGAATAGGTAGTTTTTAAAAATAATATTGATTTTTATTTTTAATTTCTTTTTTCATGTCTGTCTATTTTTGTCAAATGTTTGGAGTAAATTAGGTATTGTGTATGGCTTGCAACTATCTTGTAAAATCATTGTTAGAAAAGAGCAGTTATAAAATTTTTCCCATTTTATTCCACGACTTTCTTTACCATATATCGCGATGCTTGTTACTTGTGAGTTGTGACCCAACCCGGCACATGGACAAAGGTCTGTCACTATTGGAATTGGGATCACAAAGATCATTTAAACCAAAAGGACGAATGGCTACATATCATAATCGATTTTGATTCATTTTAATAAATCAAATCCAATCAAATTAATTTTTATTTATATTCATTTTTCCCATTTGCATCTTGCAACTTTAAACTCAAGTGGCCCATACGCAATACTTTAATCCACCGATTTTTTTCACCATACATCACGATGCTCGTGACTTGTGACTCCGGCTTGTGACCAAACTCGACCCAATGGATATAGGACACGGGTTAGAATTGGGATCACAACGTCAATTTAGAACGTTTTGCATCTCGCCAGTTAAAATCTGGGTCAAACCGGTGAAACCTTGGTCAGACGGATCGTGATTTGATCTACTCATCAGGCATAGACCCAAACATTTTTATTTATTTTTTTAATATAACTTGTAAATGCATATGGAGTAAATATTTATGATGAGAGAGATAGAAGCATCTTAAAGTATATTAGTTATATTAAATTATTTATTTATCTTACTTTTATAATTTTATGAGAATAAATAAATAATATATCATATTCTCGAATTTTTTGGTGCAAAGAATGTGACCAATTAGGCTAGAACTTGCCGGGCGTGCGACGCCCCAATGCTATCGTGC